TTTCTCTTCATGATGTCTGTCAAAACAGAGACAAAGAAACAGTTAAAATGTCTTGTATGAAATCCCTCTCATGATCCAGAGCAGGTCGTGGTGCAAAAATCTACCGATGAACCCTGCCTATGGAGTTTCTGCAGTGGAGGAACATGGGCAGCTTGGTCTCCTCCCAGGTCAAACTGCTTCTCGAAGAATCTGTTAAGGACCAGAAAGAGCAAAGAGAGGGAAATAAAGTAAGTTTATCCAAATAAAGTTATTTCAGGACTGCATTTACTTACTAATATTGTTAGGATATGGACACTGGAGCTCTGACACACTTAAATAATAAAATAAAGAGAATTGTTCAACACAATTAACAGATAACAATTGTAAATTAATGTCATTTATCAAATAAAAAGCAACATGGAGAAGCTGGAATATTTACTTGTTCCAGCTTCTCCAATGTGAGATTTTCTGCTTTTCTCTCTAATTTTTCACTTACTTATGGATTTTGAACTGTTTCCTGACAAAACAAGTCATTTGAAGGTGACTGGGGGTGTTGGGAAATCGTAATGGGCAGTTTTTTAAACTTGTTTGACCTTATTAATTAAACAATGAATCAAATAAATAATCAATAGATTCATTGTTAATGAAAATAATTGTTACTTGTAGCCATATTTTAACATAAGCTGTAGCTGCAAAACAGTGAAGATGTGAATCTGGCTCAAAGGACAATCAAAGACACCAAAATGCAGCCAGGCACATATATATCAGGTTCATCCAACCTGATGCAACTACAAACCAAAAGTAACAGATTTTATAAGTATTTGCTGGTTTTACCTCTTTATGAATGGTACAATGTAAAGAGGGGAAATCTTTGGTTAAAAAGTCTGTAGTTAAACACAACCAGTGATGGGCTTCTTGCAACTACCCACAGGTACACTTTAAAGGCTAAAGGCCAATTTTGTGGTAGTTGGAGGGTTAGAGTAGCTTTTAATATTCACTAGTGACAAATTAACTTACTTAAGTTGAGTCTCTTTGGGGCAAAATTCCAATCTGTCAAAATCTGGGACAAGACAAAAAGACACAGCATTATTCATCATTATTACAGCTTCAACACATCACTAAACAATGGAAATACTCATTGTTACCCACAGCTTATTACACTGATATGATAGTTTTGTAATTTTATGCTTACATATAATACAATATTAGTTTTTAGTATATAGTATATAGTAGATATAACATGGTATTATAAAATATAATCATTTCTGTTCGCAACAGCGGTAGCAGTACACACCGAGTCCACACTCTCCGATGGCCACCACCTTTCCTCTGTGTGCTGATGCCAGCTCCCTCAGCCCTGAGAAGTACTGGGATTCTCCATTCTGCTCAAACTCACTGCAGCGGGTGGATGGCAGCCGACTGTGCAGTAAAACTCATCTGTAATAAATGAGGAGCTTGTTAAATGTAAAAGTATAAAAGGTTCAGCACAGAGGAAAACATTAGGCAGATTTTGCTGATTCTGCTCTTGAATAGATGGACTTATACAGAGGCTTAAAGTGGGGGACAGGCCTCCCCAGGAGGGCTCCAAAGAGTTTCATGGGAGGCTCAGTGAAAAAATTACATTAATTATCTAAGGGATATAGAATAGCCTCGCTGTGTTTGATTTGGTTAAATAGATAGTTCAGAGATACAGTAGTTTTAGAGAATTTAAAATTTTTCCCACTTACCCAGACTAATAATGCCTTACCAGAGACCTTTATTATGTATTTAGTGTAGGCTGAAGTTATGTCCAAACAGAATATTAGGCTGTCTTGGCTCATTTCTGTCTGTTTATGTGATCATATAACATTTCATGATCCCTTAGGCGTCCACGACAGGCAAAACTAACCAAGTAAACTAAAGCGGGGCGCCTTATTCCAAGCTTTGTCTGAGGGGAGACTTTAAAAATCCCTAGATTAATACAAACAATCACCTATTTTGTATGTATGTTCTAATGAAGACCTCATAAATTTACATTTACAGTGGCTTGCAAAGTATTCATACCCCTTGAACTTTTCCACATTTTTCATGTTACAACCAGAAACGTACACGCAAAGTGGCGCATAATTGTGAGGTGGAAGGAAAATGATTAATGGTTTTAAAGAAATTTCACAAAATAAATGTGGCGTGCAAAAGTATTCAGCCCCTTTTAAGCCGCAGCCCTAAATAAAATCCAGTGCTACAAATTGCCTTCAGAAGTCACCTATTTAGTAAATAGAGTGTGTAATATATCTCGGTATTGTTGTTTGTTCTGCTGTTCTGTGAAGGCCTCAGAGGTTTGTTTAGAGAACATTTGTGAACAAACGGCACCAGAAGGCCAAGGAACACATCAGACAGGTCATGGATAAAGGTTTGGAGGAGTTTTAAAGCATGTTTAGGTTCTAAAAAATATCCCAAGCTTTGAACATCTCACGAGCTCTGTTCAATCCATCATCCGAAAATGGAACAACTGCAAACATACCAAAAAATGTCTGTCCACCTAAACGTGCAGGCCAGTAAGGAGAACACTGATCAGAGAAGCTACCAAGAGGCCCATAATTACTTGGAGGAGCTGCAGAGCTCCACAGCTCAGGTGGGAAAATCTGTCCACAGGACAACTATTTGTCGCGCACTCCACAAGTCTGGCCTTAATGGAAGAGCGGCAAGAAGAAAGCCGTTGTTTGAAAAGAAGCCATAAGGAGTCCTGTTTCGGTTTACCAAAAGCCATGTGGGGGACTCGTGTTAGAAGGGAGTTGATGGGAAGATGGAGGGAGCCAAACACAGGGCAATCTTGTAAGAAAACCTGTTAAGAGTCGGCAAAAGACTTGAGACTGGGGCGGAAGTTCACCTTCCAGCTGGACCCTAAACATTCAGCTGAGCTACAACGAAATGGTTTACATCAAATAAAATAAAAAATGTGGAAAAGTTCAAGGGGTATGAATACTTTTGCAAGCCACTGTAGTGAAAAGGCCCCTGGCTCTGCAATACAATTCTAGAAAGACTGCAGACACTTTGCTTCACAATATGTCTTTGTCATTGTTACGGCGCAGTGGATAAGACACATGACTGTTGGTTTGAAAGACCCAGGTTTAATACCCCCTGTGACACATCCACCAAATAAAAGCGTCAGCTAAATGAATAAATATGTAAAAAAAATGATGTAAACATATGCATTACCTCTGGTCTCAGCTAGTTTAAGGGCCTCCTTGCTGTCTTCTAGGCTCCCTCCTGTGATCATAAACTGACGAAGAAACAGAAATTACATTACTAATGAGACCGAAGACATTTCAAATGGGTTTTTTTCAGTGTAAAATAACAGGACGAAGAGTCTATGTTAGCTACTTTTCATCCTCTGGGGACCTTGTTTGTTTGTACCAAGGGGCCTCAAATCTCCATACTTTCTAAAGGCCAGCACGGGGTGACTCCACTGGTTGATTATTTAAGCTTATGAGATAATGATGGCCTTACTTCTCAGCTGATTTATTACCCCAGTAAACGCTATGCTAATGAGCTCATGGTCTCAATCGCTGTTTCAAGTCTTCTTCAATGCAGCATTATGTTAATTTTTGTAAATGATGATCCCATTTAGAGAAAAAGAGGCAATAAAGGAGGGTATGCTTCAAGGCGTGGTTACCTTGTGATTGACAAGTTGACCAACATTGCAAACTATAAAGCCACTTGTGACTACAACTAGAATAAGTGCACACCATTAAAGTGATGGGCACACGTCTTTTCAACTCCGATTTTAAGAGCTCTGTCGATGATCTGACTGAAGTCATCTGTCAGAAAATCACAACGGGTCTCAGATTAACTTTATCCCAACAGAAGACAAGTCAAAGTAAACACGTTGCTCACCTTCATGTTTCTGCTTCCCTCTGTAAAGTCCTCTAAACATGGGATCTGTCAGGTTCACACCGATATCTGGAGAGGGAGAGGTTGAAATGTATTGATACTGCAATACCAAACACTTTGTTGAGATTCTTTCTTGATGTGCTGGGACAGATAACATGTTTTCTTGGGATCCATTACTGTGAAACTGGTACCAACAGCCTGCTGGGATATATTCTATTGCAATAACTACTGTATGTTATTAATATAAAATGACAATACATTCTGTAGTTAGTGTTCTGGCACTGACACCAAAAGTGCATAGTCAATACGCCGATCAGTGTAGATGATAAATAATATGCTAGATATGTTTCCATTAGGGCTGTAACTAATGATTCAAACCCTAAAAACATTTAGCATTCACCATCCAATAAGACAAAAAGAAAACTGCAAATCCACAACATCGAGGAGCTGGAACCAGCAAACGTTAGGCTTTTTTTTCCTTTATAAAGATCTGATTAATCAACTAAATGTTTCATCTTTTGGTGTTCTTTAATGACACAGTGGCTCCATGTTTTTGATGTTTGTAGAAAGAAAATTATGGATTTTACAAAGCACTTGTTAACTTTTTTGTTTACATCGAATATATGAGTTACTTAAATGATTGTTTTGTCTATAAAACAAGGAAGAGGTGAAAATGGCCTTTAGAGTCCACTTCTCATTGCTTGTGTCATCTGAGCAACAGTCTACCATCCAGTGGTGATTCACTTTCTAATGATATCAAACAGACTCAGTTTGGATTCTTCACTGTAATGCCAACCCTGCTGCTGATTGTAATAGCTGTAGGTACTATAAACTAAAATCAGACCCTCTGACATTTCCCTGCACAGCTGCAAAGCTCTGTGACTGCTGTGTTGTCATTTTCAGCAGGGCTAACTCCATGCTAACTAAACTGCAGGCTTTTCTGTTTGCAACAAACGACACCAAGAGACTTCCGCCCTTTGTGTTTTAAAAGCTAGCCATTAAACGTCAGTGTCTTACCGATGAATTTGTGCTGAGCCATTGCTGTAAGAGTAATACTTCTGAAAAGAATCACACATGTAGCTCTCACCAATCCCATAATGCTGCATTACCGTAATTACTGTCATATGGGAGAAGCCACTTTACTGAATAGCTGTATTTTATGACAATTTTCCCGTCTTAACTAAATATTTTAGACGGTAAAATGTGGAGCGAACTTACTTTTAGTTAGTCATTTAAGAAACGTCTGCGATGTAATCCTGACAAAAAAAAAAAAAAAGGCGGCTATAGACATGAAATATTTTGCGCATTTTGTAGATATTTACGGTCGCAACATCCAATCGCCACAAAGTCCCAGAATCCTTCGCGCTGCTAGCCGAGAAGGTGACAGGGGACGGCGAAAATGGCCTCTGCCTATCTTACTCACCAGCAGAAAGTGTTGCGGCTTTACAAGAAGTCACTAAGACATCTCGAGTCGTGGTGCATCTTTAGGTAAGAGGGCTGTCTTCGTGTGAGCTCTGCGGTGAAAAGTCAGATTCAGATTTATCTGCAGTAGAGCGGTCTGTTTATGTGCCGGTGAGCTAACAGCTAAGCTAAATGCTAAGTGCTGCTAGCCAGGTCACTCATCTTCAAATCAATCAGCTCTACTGCAAAAAGCGTTTCCTCCTCAGCTCACCCACTCTTCTTCATTCAAACAAGATCATATATATATATCCCTGACACTGTTAGTTTTAGACATTATATTGGTCAAATATAAGTTGAGACTTGACACTTTCACAGGGCGCCAGCTAGCGTCGGTATCAGTGAACAGTCCAGTTGGACCTAAACTAACGTTATACAGTCACTCACTATAACTAATCTGTCAATAGAAGTTATCTTCTAACTAGAAACGTTATATATAATGTCATTTAGTTTAATGAGTATGTGTTTGCTTGTTCACAGCCACTCTAAACACTGTTATGTAAAAGTTTGCTCCCTAAATAAAGATGAACAAAAATGGATTCAATCAATCAAGTAACTGGTTTTGATGGGTTCAGCTTCAACTCTTTTCTGTATGAGGAACTGAATGACTTGATGTTTTTGGTTGTTGTTTCAGGAAAAGACATATTGTGATCTGGAAGGGATTTGTTATGATATTATTTCACATTTTATAAAGTAATTAAGGCACCTGATTCTTATACACTTAGTTTATAGCTGGAGAAAATGATATATAGTCCAAAAGAAGACTTTTTGACAAACAAATCTCAATTAGACCCTGAACCATTGTGACATTTGAGGCTGGTGTTTATATTGTATTTTTAAAAACTGATAATTATACCAGGATTTTTGATCGCAGTGTTTTAGAGTTAAAAAGAACGTGTGACTTTTCTTAATTGACAAACACTGAAACGGCAACATATATTGGGCTTTTCTGCACTGCAGTTTCATATTGGTTATCTTATTGCCCATACAGATATATGGTATCTGTTACAAGCTCATGTTGGTCGATAGATTATTAATGTTCTATCATTTTAAATATTGTTATTGCTGAAACAGTGTGTGATATTGGGTAAAAAAAAAAAAAACGTTCGGACTCTTGAGACAAGATTTTCAGAAGATTTCACGTTGTTTACATCAAATGTCTCAGAGTTATAGTGTAAATAGGAAAACACATAGTGTTTTCTCAAGAGGAAGAAATGCTGTTTATTATTCAACAGACAATTTTTTTTAATTGTCTGAGTCATTGTAGAATCCCTGCTTCTCCATCGTATGTTTTTTAAATGCTTTTCTGTCCTGTGTGATTAAATAAAAAAAAAACTGTCTTACTATTTTATGATGTTTTATAGACTAAACGATTAATGTGCGGGTTGATCAGTAATGAAAGCAATTGTTAGCTGCAGTCCTACTTCAAATGCATGTTTCTGCTTGTGTGAGACTTTAATGGTGCTACCGTCTCTACATTTTTCTCTTACTAGATGTCTTGCACTTAAAGAAGACATCCTGTCAATATTGTGATTTTAAGAAATATAGCTGGTGTTTTCCTGTTACAGAGACAAATACCGCTTCTACGCCTGCATGCTGCGGGCTCGCTTCGATGAGAACAAGAATGAGAAGGACATGGTGAAGGCCACCATGATGCTGAAGGCGGGAGAGGAGGAGTTCTGGGCCAACCAACATCCCCAGCCCTACATCTTCCCCGACTCTCCTGGAGGGACATCATATGAGAGATATGAGTGCTACAAGGTGAGGCGGGGCTTCATGTGCTTTATCTGGATTGCTACCATGAAATGATTTGTTATGTGAGAAAGTGTTTGCACTTGCTGTCAAGTTGTTACTGCCCTCTGCTGGAAATGTAAGGAGAGTGCAACTGGATCGATCTACTCCAAACAAAGCTCCATCATGTATTCTGAGAAAGTCTATCCTCAGATGTTAACGTTGTTTGATGTAAAAGCTTAATAACAACTTGTTATTTTGAAGAATGTTCATACTTTTTATCAGGTGGCCTGTTTTAGTTAATTACGACACATTATGTAAACTTATTTGAAGTGAAAACACGGTGTGAAAATGCAGAAAGTGTCAACGTTACATGATGCTTTGTTCCTGAAGGTCCCAGAGTGGGTGCTGGACCACTGGCACCCGTCGGAGAAGGCCATGTACCCGGACTACTTCTCCAAGAGAGAGCAGTGGAAGAAACTGAGAATGCAGAGCTGGGACAAAGAGGTGGGCTGTTACAGGACACGTTTTATATACCGCCAGGGCACACGTCACCTCCATACACACAGCAAAATACACATTACAGTACTAACCATTCTAATACTTAAGAAATGACTCAGGAGTGTTAATTGATGGTGTGAATGGACACTGCCTAAGACTAACACAGCTCACCTTTGTAATGGTGAATGCACTTACTTTTACTGTGACCACAGGGCTCTAAGCGGCCGTTGTTCAAGCGTTTTTGACTTATGCCCCCCTAAAACAAATCTGTCTATTAGCTGCCCTCTGTGTTTTTTTAACAAGAAAAAGGCAAAGATTAAAGGAAAGTCAAAAAGGGAAGAGAACTATGTTTTTTTCCTCTGTTCTGTCCTGGTAATGATTTTGCAACCTTCCAGGTTTTATCCCTGTGAACCTGTAGATTCACAACAATGAATTGATAATGAAAATAACTGCAGCCTTGTTGTAAACTTTTGTCCCCTCCCGTCTGGTTCCAGGTCGCCCAGCTGCAGGCTGAGACTCAAGCCGGCAGCCCCAAGACCGAAGCCCTCCCTCCTGCCCGCAAGGAGGGCGACCTCCCCCCTCTGTGGTGGCAGTACGTCACCCGCCCCAGGGAGCGCCCCACATAAACACCCTCTACCTCCTGCTGTGGGTCACCCCCCCCCCCCCCCCCCCCCCCGCAGTCTGAGGGGAAACTGTCCCAACCACACAACAGCTGCACCATCTGTCTGTAAAGAATGTTTTATTAGTGATTTCTGAGGAGGTTCACCTGTGCAGGTTGCGTGGCTGAAAAGACGACCTGCCTGTATTCACACTGATTCTTCAGTAGAGTCAGTTTATGGAGCTTGGTGACTTTGAGAAGTCCTGTAGATGTTTCACTTAATACCTGTAACTGTTCCAATAAATAAATGTATAATGAAAATGGTGTGTGTGTTGTGTACAGGGAGACACACTGCATGTTGTGAAGCCATGTGGTTAACTGCAACTGAAAAGTCCTTAATATTAAAAAATATTGTCTGCATTTACAAAAGGTACAATGTTACTGAAGAGGTAAAGCAGTTGTCTAAGAGCTGACCATGAGTTTCATACCTCCCAATATCTCATACTTTTAAATACATAGCACAAAAGCCTATCCTGGCCATGTGTGTGTAGGTAAAAGATTTGCCTTCCAGCACCTGTAGAGCTCACAAGTAACCATTTGTAATTTGAGTGGGGTTATGTGCTGGACTACTTTACAGTCATCGCTATCTGCTTGCTGTAACTTCACATTTAGCTTAAAGATATGAGAGTAGAGATCTCATTTAACCTCCAAGTAAAGCTACCGCCCCTCCCAAAACACCATAAGTGCTTTAATGGCTCTGTGTGTTTCCACTTATCCTTGCTGATTAGACATTTGCTCTGGCAGAATTGGGGAAGATCTAGGCCATGCATTATGTTAAGTCCAGACTCAATACACCAATAGGAATAATAAAGTATCATGGTGTAATTTGCCGCTGCAACACCGCTGACAGAAGAGAGAGGATGATGTCAATCAAACAGAGTATGCACACTCCTTACACAATCCTTAGAAGCACTCCGGCTATGCAAAATAAGTGAAATCCCTTGTGTGGGTGATCCAGCGATTGTGCATGGCCTTTAAAATGCTCTCAGTGTGGTCATTACACTTTCGTTAGGCATCGTTACTGGTGTAATAGACTTAAAAGCAGAAGAAGTCAGTAATGATTAGTAGTGTTAATTTACTCTTTAACACTATCTGCTTCTAAATGTGTGACATGAAGGTAGTTGGATATTGAATATTATTATTAAAATCAAGTTATAACTGTTCAGGTATTAGACTCTGGATGGTGGAGCAGTTTTCTAAGACTGACCACTTTTTGTTTGTGCAGCTACTTAAACATTTACTAAAACACTGTTTAACTTGTGATCATGTTAAAAACTGAATTGTCTGTTGCCCAAAACCAACAATGTGTTGTAGTCTGTCCCTCTTCTCCGTCTGTGGCTCTCAGCTTCAAGCTCATTGGTTCCTGCTGAAGACATAGATCTTTAAACAGAACAAAGTCATACAACCATATCGTTTATTTAAAAAAAGGTGTATTTCTAAAAACAGATGGGCACTGTAGTTTTTAGCAAACGTTACTCAAACAGTTGGAAATACTGCATTTGATGGGGATTATTTTCAGCAGCGGATTCATGCATGTTTGGTACTGTAGTAGTGAGTATTTCTGGCAGCCAATAGAAGCAGCTAGCAGTCCTTAGAAGCTGCAGGCAATAGAAAACACTCCATCTCTACGGCGACAAGCGCGGCCTGAAGTTGCGTGGTCGTATCATCATGGTGACTGCCTTCAGAGAGTAGAAGTCTGATTCCTTCCAGGAGAACCACACGATGCCGTCCGGCCCGAGCAAGTTCTGAGCTTTAAGTGAGTAGCGCCCGCCCTGGTGGAAAAACATTTCAACATAACATAACAGATAAACATCATTCAACATTTTAACATAACACCAATCTTGTTTCAACATTTAGTTAATATTAGTCCTATACCCACTGCGTGTTCTTGTGTACTATATTCTTGTTGACCGTCTTACCTTGTAATAGACGCCGTTGAGGTTGGCGTAGAAACACTGGTGGAACCACCAGCCGGCGTGGCTGATCTCGGCACAGATGTTGCCAGTGTCTGGCGTGCTGAAGCCCTGCCGGTCGTGGTACCAACCGAACGAATCTTCCACTGTTCCACTGAAACCAGACACGTGGAGGCGGTACTGGTTCTCCTCATCCTCTATCCTGCAGGAGGAAGAGAAGAAACCATAATGTCTATAACAATGTGTGTACTGTAACGTATAAAGGCTTTAAGTGATCCTTCATCACCTGCTCCTTGTTACTGTTGCTACGCTTATCCAGCTTTAAAATTTTGTACATTGCACAAGCACTTTACAATGATAACAGTGGCAGCAGATTAACTAGTCAAAAATAGTAATCTTTAAACCAAAGGGTCCTTGTTATACAACCACCCTCCAAATTCTGTATACCAATCATCACTCTTACTAGTCCAATGCACATTGCTATGTGGAGAAATCCAAAGCTTGTAAGATCTTTATAGTACTTGTCCTCTACATGTTTCTACACTGAACAAAATTATAAACACAACACTTTTGTTTTTGCCTCCATTCATCATGAGCTGAACTCAAAGATCTAAGACTTTCTTTATGTACACAAAAGGCCTGTTTCTCTCAAATATTGTTCACAAATCTGTCAAAATCTGTGTTAGTGAGCACTTCTCCTTTGCCGAGATAATCCATCCACCTCACAGGTGTGGCATATCAAGATGTTGATCAGACAGCATGGGTGTCGCACAGGTGTGCCTTAGGCTGGCCACAATAAAAGGCCATTCGAAAATGAGCAGTTTCACCGTATTGGGGGGGGGGACCAGTCAGTATCTAGTGTGACCACTATTTGCCTCACGCAGTGCAACATATGTCCTTCGCATAGAGTTGATCTGGTTGTTGAATGTGGCCAGAGACGGTTCCTCTCTGGGTGGCTGGTCTCAGATGATCTTGGAGGTGAAGATGCTGGATGTGGAGGTCCTGGGCTGGTGTGGTTACACGTGGTTGCGGTTGTGAGGCCACGCTTTTGGAGACTGCTTATGGTAGAGAAATGAACATTTAATTCACGGGCAGCAACTCTGGTGGACATTCCCGCTGTCAGCATGCCAATTGCACGCATCTGTGGCAACTGATGGAACTGCACATTTTCAAGTGGCCTTTTATTGTGGCCAGCCTAAGGCCCACCTGTGCAATCCCCATGCTGTCTGATCATCTTGATATGCCACACCTGTGAGGTGGATGGATTATCTCGGCAAAGGAGAAGTGCTCACTGACACAGATTGTGACAGATTTGTGAACAATATTTGAGAGAAACAGGCCTTTTGTGTACATAGAGAAAGTCTTAGATCTTTGAGTTCAGCTCATGATGAATGGGTGCAAAAACAAAAGTCTTGTGTTTATAATTTTGTTCAGTGCGACAGCTATCTCTGTACCGTTACTATCTATATTATGCATCCTTCTTCCACAGGTTCTCTTTCTAACCATCTGTCTACCTGAAGGTGTGGTACAGGGCGTGTCTGTAGGCGTGGCTCCAGTCCTGCAGGTCGATGCGAAGGCTGTAGTGGCCATGGTTGGACAGCAGGTGGAGCTGTTGGTTGCCCAGCCAGTGTTCTTCTCTCGGGTCGCCGAAGCCATCTCGGTACTCCGACCAGCCGCGGTTAAAACTCACTGAGCCGTCGCGCCGCCGCTGAAAAACCGTCCAGCCCCCGCCTGGGGCACAAACATGTACACACAAAGACTAGTATTGAGTGCTTTTGCTACTGTGACTGAACCAAAATGCCTTCCAAGAAAAAGGCCTATTATGTAAAGTAGTTTAATATATAAATATAAGTCATAGACATAAAGGTTTTGAGACTCTTGATTGCCTGTTGTTTTAATGTTTTGTGATCAGCTCTAGGCTTAGATTCAGAGTTTGTTTCAGAATATGCACTTAAAGCACAATTTCAATTGACTCGAGGCCATAAAATAAGCAAACAGCAACATTAGCATTCATCTGGAGTGGAGTTTGTGTCAAGTCAAATATGCACTCTCTGTTTTGCTCTGTTTTTGGTTTCCACCAACTCTTGAGTGAAATATCTTTAGCAGCTAAACGCTTCACGATGTTCACCAGTTAGTTGCTAACTTTGACTGTCTGCTGTTTGGTGCTGAGCAGGTAGTGTACAGTGGCTTTTCAGAGTTCTTCTTTTTTGCTGACTGCTGTGTTAAAAAACACAGATGTGAGCATTGAGGCTGACAAAAGCATTAGAATTGCTCATAAAACCAAAACAATGAGTTGAAAGATAATTCTCTGTGACTTAATCACTATAAGCGACATGATTGTTGCATATTCCTCATTTAATTTGTGTTTAATCAAATTACCACATAGCAAACCAAAGGCCTGGTAGATTTCCAGCACAGAAAGACCTCACACATCGCATTGTGGGAATGAGGGAGAAATCAGAGCCCAGTAAACATTTTTGTCCTGGCCCCTCACGGTAATTGATGTTTGGCCACACTGCATATCCGTGTGAATAACGTGTTTATACAACATGTGTCTCACCCTCGGTCTCCATGTCGCAGTAGACAGGCAGGGTGGAGCCCGGTGACAAGACGATGGTGTAAACACCAGAACGCCGAACACCATTGTGATACAGAGATGCACAGTCTGACGCACAGAAAGACAGGAACTGTCCATCTGAGAGAGAGACAGACAGAGAGAGAGAGAGAGAGCATCACAAAACCAAAACATCAAACTGTCAACTAAACCTCATGAAACTGGTGAAATACTGAGATGTTGCTGTTGCTGTTGTTTATTCTAATTGCACAATGCTCCCACAAGTAAACACACTGTTCATGATCTCTTTTTTTCATTTGTCATAACCAATTTACTGTATAACGATTTACCTCACAAGATCATAAATCAATAGCATATTTAGCTCCTCCCATGCACTATAATTGACTTACCTTCCGTGAGTGTTTATAAACCTCAACTGTTGATACCCAAAAGGTTCATTTCTGTGCTGAATAATGTATAATGCTTTTTTGCCAGATACTATGCGGGTCAGCTGCAATGCTTGATTGTACTTGGAGCTTGAGAAGTAAGTAAGTAAAGTGTATTTTTGATGCATCTGTTGAGAGTGAGATAAAATGCATAAAACTACTGTCATGATAGCTAATACTAAAACTGTGGACTGTAGAGAATTAAATATTATCTTTAACTGCTTTATGTACTTATTTGTATTGCTAACTAAATGTTTCAGTAGTGGTTATGCTACTGTTTCCTTTATGTTTAGACAATACCTGTGTTTAAAATGTATTCTATCTTTGTTTAATTATCAATGAATTGTAATCCAGCACTTTGACTAAATGAATAGCTTATGTTGTGACTTTTGTTCTGTTTTTTAGACAAACAAATTCTAATTCACCTTTATGAACAGAAGGAAGCTCTAAGCCTCAGCTCATCTGTTCTAACGGACAACTCAAACACAGACATAATACAGCAGTATTTGGACAGTTTGTGACATGCAAAGCCAAGGTAACAATTCTGAATGGTGGTAGCTTAAACCTGCAGTGCAAAACTTTTGTCTCTCCCTTCTGTCAGTGAGAGTAATTGGCTCCCCCACTGTCAACATGCTTATGAGGCTCTGCCATACTGAGTTGCTGCTGTTGCTATAGTTGATCCTCCCTTCAACTCTGCCAAACCAATCAGTCATTGCCGGTTGGCATAAAACACATCACCGCCGATTTGCCAGTGTGGGAACGTCACTACAGACACCAGATTTAAAAATTCAGGTTTTTGTGTATACAGAGAGATTTATGAGGCAGTGATAGGCTTAATCAGCATTGTGTGATGGCGTGAATGTAACAGATGTTTACTGCAAAATGTGTTTTTGTTTGCAGAACCTGCAGAAGAACTGCTGCTGTGCGTAGTTTTGATTGTGTTTAAATGCTCCATTTGGCAGTAAGGTTGCAACTCACTGCTGCGTTCACGGCACGTGTACCTGGTGGCAGTGTGTCTCGCATGCCGAGCAGCGGTGTAGTTCTGATGACGTTGACCGTGCAGCCTGTGTTGCGGCTCATGTGCTGCACTGTGGCTGACAAGTTGCGGAGCTGTGCTTGCAGCTCGTACAGCAGCGCCGCATGCACGTGGAGCAGCGTGTCGGTCTCGGCATGACGCAACTCCAGAGAATGCAACTGCTGCTCAAAGGTTGAGTTTAAACTAACCCTTTCTTCACCCTAACAGATAGAAAGACAGAATATAGATTTTAATATATGGAAATAGAAAGTTGAAACAGTGTTGCACAGGCAAAATGCAGTATCTGCAAATAAAAGATCTAGAAGCTAAGATGACTACACCTGCTCACTGATTACCTTTTAGTAGGACTACTTCAGCTTTTGTTGCTTTTGTTGTCTTTGTCTTTGTACAGCCTATTGTGTAGCTTATTTGGTCAACTCTGAAGGGAAAACATGGTCTACTGCTCTGCTACGACTTTCTGATAAACGTCTGGCAGCAAACAATGTCACAAAGTCAGATTGCAGTCTCTCGATTTTGACCAGGGGTGGAAGAAAACACTACAGCCCAGAAAAATTCTCTCTGGGTCAGTCAGACTCAGAAGGATGCAGGGTCCTGGCCAAAAGGCCTGCAGCTAATCTTGTTAGCATTCAGGGTTAAGGAGGGCTTAGTGGGTGTCAAGACAGAGAGATAAAGACAGACACAGAGATAAAGACAGGCAGGGATAAACAGAGAAATGCATGAGAGTGTTGTGTTTTGCCTGCCTGAATAATCTGTTCCCCTGTTTTATGATAAACTGCATGAAATAACAAGCAGCATTTTCACCGTTACTGTTTGTAGCATTGCCTGTTTCTGTTCAGTTAAGTTGCATTTTTTATGATATAATATCCCAATATAAGAATTTATGTGAGAATATTTTATTACAGATGTTTTATCAGCTCCTGTCTGTGCTAATATGTTAGCCTGAATATCAAAGTACAACTGAGGCCATCTGGAAATTTAATCTGTTGGTAGTGGTAAATAAAAAGTCTGGGGATCACCAGAGTCATTAGTATTCATCATGTGGGGAACACGAATATCTGTATAAAAGTTTATGGCTGTTGAATAGCTTTTGAGATATTTCACACTGGACACACAGACCAAACAACTGATTGTTCACACATCAAGGCTGCAGAAGGATGTACAGTGAAAGAATGCCGGGTAAAATCATTGATTTGTATTATTTCTTGTTATGAATCTCAGTGCTTCCATTCCATAAAACTAAATATTTGTCAGCCAGTTTTTAAAGACGTAAGTGGACATGGATATCCTGAAAAAACTGTGACTTCCTGGAAAACAGTGAATCTTTAATGGAGATCTCACACTGCACTAGTAGCCATGAACATGAAAATAAATCAACAAAGTAGTAACATTTTTAAGGAATCCCACCCTTTGGCCCCTCCTATCAAATAAAACTTTTACACCATTGGCGTAGTTTTGAATCTTACTTGTGGGTCCCCTGTCTCAAAAACTGGGAGGTGCACAACCAAGAGCTGCGATAACTTCCCGAACCTACATGCTGCGTTGAGCATAAAAAAAGCTTAAGATAGCTAGCTATGGATGCACTAGCCATGTTTGTGGGAATGTGCCTGTGTGTTTTGAGTTCAGATCTGTGTCTGTCTGATCTCAGATGTCATAAAAAAATACATTTTTTGCAGTTATTTCCCTCCAGTGTGACTAATTTTCCCTCTCATCTCTTTATGTCTGCCATCACCGGTAGGGCTTCAGCACATATCTGTTGGCATGCCATTGCGCCGCCTCTAAAATTGTCTGAACACACAGGAAGTGCAAGTCTCAAAATGTCAAACTACTCCATTAAGAAACTTAAGCTGCAATTTTTATTGTACATACAAAGACAAATATATTTTAGACTAACAAACAGCAGTGTACCTGCATCTCAAGGGCCTTGACTCGATGCCGGTGGTTCCTCAGCTCCTCCTGCAGCTCTGACATTGTCTCCCTCAGGTCCTCCAGCTGCTCCTTTCTGTTCTGGTTCTCGTGGAGCCAATTTGAGACATCGTCTGTACAGCGAAACATATCTGGGCAGCGTTTTTGTGACGTTCCCACTGGTACTGGAGGCAGCGTTGCCATCAGCCGGCACTGACCGTTAGATGTCAGCTGACTGCTGTACTCGCCGCACTGTCCTGCTGAACCACCAGTGGTTCGGTTGATGGTTTGGTTGGTGCTATCACCAACACCAGCGTTACTGTTGCGTATCATCGGCGGAGTGTCCGGGGGTAGATTAGAGCGTCTTTCATGGAGAGACGAACGAGGATGCCAGTCAGCATCCTCATAGTTGTCCGTGTTAAAGTCCCGCACGTCCCAGTTTGTTTCAGTGTTTGAGTCTGGTACATCCCTGCTCGTTTGGATGTCCAAGTCTAGTACATCCCCGTTTGTTTCTGTGAGGATGTTGGGGTGTACATCCTCATCGTGTCCAACGTCTGTGTGTTCATCAGAGGTCGCAAAGTCACCTGTGAGAGGGTGGTAACACCAGCCGATCAGCAAGACAAACGTTAGTAAAATGGATCGCCAATTCATTCTGAAGATTTAGTAACTCGCTGTCCCTGGTTATTGTTGACTTTTATCCATGGCAAGTCTGAGAGAAGTCACCAGTAGAATCAATTAATGGACTGACATCAGGGTCAGAAGTCACAGCAGCAAGACGAGGTCCAGGCCTCCCCCCAAGTTAGGCTTGAGTTGTGGGCTTAGATTCAGGATGTGGAAGACCTGTCCAAAACAAAGTGAAACAAGCAGATTTAGTGCATTAAAGTTTGTCCATGAATTGAGTACTTAAACACAAACCAGGTGGACTCCTTAAAACTCTGTAACATCAAAGGTTTCTGTGAAGGTGCTCAACTTGGTCCAATGGCACAATTGCTTTAACATTTACTGGGCTGGTATCCCATCTGGCCTTGAGATCCCCTTAGGAGGGTCTGGAAAGTGTTGCTGGGGACAGGGATGTCTGAAATACCCTGTTTGGCCTGCTACCACCAAGATAAATAAACGGAAGATAACGGATGGATGGATGGACTGGTGTTGAAAGTCACTGAAAGAGTTGTTCATTTTTAGCCAAGGAGACAGGTTTACAATCAGTGAGAGAAGCATGGATTTACTTCCATGTGATGACTCAAGGAACCTTAAACACTCAAAAGATCAGTGAGGTGAAGAGAGTAGTTTTAGACAAGGATGCTGGATGCAGAAACGATCTAAATGCAACCCAGATCCTGCCTATATCTCATGCGAGTTGAATCTCTGATGAACAAGTGAAATAAAGTCCATGTATTCGCGCAACAAACACAAACATGCAGGACCCCTTCAAGCTGTTGAACTAATTACCATCTTCACTGGGACGAATTTGATCCTTTTTAAATTACGAAACATGGCTGACTCAGGACATTTTACTGGAAATGTTTGAAAAAAAAATCCTAATATTTCCTGTTTCTGCCATTGGACGAGTCATTGTGTTTTGCACAAAAGACATTTTTGTCTGGGTATAGTGTCCTTTTCACACTCTTCAGAGCCTCAACTGTATCACTGCATGAGGACAATGCAACTTTGACAATAAAACTAAAAGTAAATAAATGTTGTGAGTGTGAATGAATGTGAGTCAATGTTGACTGTGTCTGCAGGCAGATTTTCTTAAATGGTTGTAATCAATGGAAACCAGTTAAGCTAAAAACTGACAATAAGCTTTGAAAAATACTCAGCAGGAATTCAAAGCATTGGCAAAGTAGCCAAAGTAGCTAAAACACTATGAAGGCCTGATAAGATCCTTTGGTTAACGCACATTTAAATTGAAACACAATAAGTATACCGGTATATTTGAACCACCAGTCCTACCTGTCGCCCTGTATATCCCAGCATCCTTGCGCTGAATTCACCTCAATGGAAAAGCTTCAGGACAGCCAAGAGACTGTGTGTGTGTGTGTGTGTGTGTGTGTGTTCAGGACCGGGTGTAACATCTTATCCCTATAATCCTCTAAGGGGATTGGCAGCCTTTGGCCTGGAAGGTAATAGATTACAAATGGGACTACAAATTGCAGTAATTGACATTGAAGTGAAAGAGACAGAAAGAATAACAATGTGATTTTAACAGGTGTTACTGAAAGAGATCTGTCGATGAAACAGATCTGCAATTCTTGGTCACATACTGTAACTTTGGAAGAGCCACACTTTCTTTTGTGTAACTCACACTTCTGAGGTCTCACATTAGTTTCAGCAGAACTTCTAGCTTCACTGTGTGTTGATGTTTTGACCCACCACTGTTAATCAGTGTGCCATTCACTTACATTACCAGGCATAGATTTATCTCTAATGGTGATTCCAGCTTTCTATCTGCTACAGTTTTGCTTAGAGACTTTCATAATGGCATTATGAAAATCCTTTGTGCAAATCTTTATTAAACTAGTAACTGTAATGCTACTAATGCACTGCATGCATACATTGGTTAAGTGAATCTTGCGTAAGGATCATGATGCAACAGCGTCTCACAAAATTTATTCCGTCCAAATTTAGTTCAACTGAAAGGAAAGTGTGCTGTAGCCATGCTAGTCAGCTGGTTTGATCGGCCATTTCTTTGGTCCTGACTCAAATATCAACTATTTGCCACCATGAGGCTGACATTTGTTTTTTTTGTGAAATATATCAACAACTGTTAGATGGATTGCCATGACATTTGGCAGACACAATCATAATTCCCTCAGGATGAATTGTTAAATTGTTTGTGACCCCTCATCAGGCAATTTTTTTTTAAATGTGTTTAATATTTTGGCTTTTGACATCAGCCTCACTGCTGATTAGTAAATGTTAGCATGCTTACTTGCTAAATTAAGATTCAAATACTTAATAAATGGCATGAAAGCATTGTCTTTGTGAGCACATTAGCGTCCCAACTCCCCCCAACACTGATGATATTGCTAAAATGAAAGGTTTGTCCAGAATGTGGCTCTAAAGGAGGCGCAATAAAATCGAAAAGTATTTTGAAGTTTGAATGCACAAAAATAACTTTTGGTCTAATTGAATCTGTGGTTATTTACTCCTGGTAATTAAATGTGTGAGTAAACATGTAAGTTTTTATTTTCAGTGTAGAAAAAAGCACCAGACAGAATTAAATTGCAGGAGTTGGTGAATAAAGTGTCTCCAGTTCGGATACTGTGTCGATAATGTAATTGGTTTGAGTTTTGCTTTACCTCTTCATTTTCTACCTAAACATATTAGAGAGAGAGAGAATATGCGTGTGTGAGTCTTTAATGGACTGAATGGAGGTTCAAGGCTGTGGGAGCCCTCTAATGGGTTTATATTTACCTGCCCGCCTCTGTTGTTCCATTAGAAAAACAGAAAAAAACAAAACTACTCAAAGAAAGGACTTTATCATGAGAGGCTGACATAATGACTTAAAGCTAGGATTATAATGGTGGATGTGGAGCCTTGAACAGAAGTTCCTGTTGGATGTAAAATCATGACTATATTTGCTTAGAGCGGTGAACAAGAGCTTTAGGTTTTGTGGATGCGGAGCCTTAAAGAGAGGTTCCTGGTGCACAGGCTGGGGTACGCTTGAATCAAGCAAAACATACGTAGAAAAAAATGACAAGTAGTTTTGTGAAGCATAAATAAGAGTGCTTGAGAGAAAAGTTCAAACCCTCCACGCACCTGACCAATCAAGATGATGGGTCTCAAATTACCCTCAAATCACTCGAAGACTCCCTCAAGTCGGAAGAACAACTTATAAAGCCTGCAAATATTTTGGTAAAGGACTTGCCTAATTGCCGTCATATCATGCAGAAAAATGGCTGATGAAAGAAAATGCTTTTTATTAACTCACATATTGCACATATACTGTCACCTCACAGCAAGAAGGTTGTGGGTTCAAACCTTAGTTGCCCCGGCTTTCTGTGTGGAGTTTGCATGTTCTCCCCGTATCTGCATGGGTGCCAAAGACATGCGGACTAGGTTAATTGCTGATCCTAAAAATGTGAGCATGAGTGGTTGTTTGTCTATGTGTGGCCCTGCGATGGACTGGCGACCTGTCCAGGGTGTACCCCGCCTTTCGCCCGATGTCAGCTGGGATTGGCTCCAGCCCCCCCCCCCCGACCCTGTACGCAGGATAAGCGGTTAACAAGGGATGGATGGATGGTATTAGGTTGTAAGCTAACCGTTAGCATAGACCTGGATTAGTTATTTATAAGCATGAACCCTGATAACAAGTTAGGTAAAGCAATAATTTACTGGTTTTAGGGAAAGTATTGGTGCAGCAACACATCTGGAACAAAATCACTAATCCTAAACTAAACTGTTTCAGCATACTTTGACAGCAATGTCACACAACAACCCAGACGCTACAAAAACATCCGTGTTGTTTCCACAATTCGACTTGAAGCTCATAAACACACCAAAGCCAGAAGAACGACTTGTCAACTCAAGAAATGGGACCATCCGAGGAGAATGTGAATTAGGCTGCTGGTCAGTGGTGAATCTTAAAGAGAGGCTCCTGGTGGACTCTGAGCATTAAGTTCATCCTCATCCCCATAAAACAAGTCAATCCCCTTCAGATCCATCATTAGTCACACTGAGGGCTCAGACAATGGAAAGACGCTGCAGCAGATGAGTGTGTGTGTAACTGTAGACTCTGACCCACAGGTTTGAATCCCGTCTTCCGCCCTGTGACAACATGTTGGTTTGGTGATAATCTGCCCAATATGCTGGCTGACATTTAACACTCAGCTGCAGCCCTAGCAAGGCGGTGAGTGAAAACATGAAAACATGACGTGTTTCTTTCTGTTGTGTGCGAACTTGAGTCTCCAGTTTTCTGTTATTATGGAGTTTAAAGACAAGCTGTTTGTTTATCTAAGGTTACTGGACACGGATATTCAACACTGACAGCTCATCTACTAAAGTCATTTCAGTTTGATGTTTAGCAGGTATAATGTTTACCATGTTCACCAGCTTAGTTTAGTTAGCATGCTAACATCTGCTAATTAGTAAACACAGGACAGCTGAATATCATCTGTTATGTCAAACTAGTAGAACATAAGAATTCACTTTTAAACCCAAAACTTTGGTCTTTCCAACAGTCTGATTTTATTTAGAATGAACATTAAATCCTCAGAACCAGGCAGCTCATGTGGCCGTAGACTCTTGTTTACATGGAAAGTTCAGCTTCTTGAGTGATGATGATGATGATGATGATGAGGATGATGAGGATGGTGGTGGTGTGTGTGGGTGGAAGAGGGGGATGGTATTTCATTTATTGTCCATTTTCATGAAGGAGTGTGTGTTTACAAGCATGAATGAGAGAATTAGGGGGACTTTTCAGGTAATGACGTCATGATGTGTGTGTGTGTGTCCTTGGCTGACAAGATATAAAATCATCTGGAGGACTGGAGGGACAAAAGTGGACGAGAACAACAGAAATCTCTGTCTAACGGCCAAACGACAAGAAAACAACAGAAAAGAAAGAGAGAGAGAGAGAGACAGGACAACGTGGTGAGTATCTTTATTATCTGTTTGTTATTTATTATATTATATACTTTTCCAATTAACCCCATTTTCATTAATTTAATTGTTTTATTTTGTATATGTAATGTAAGTCTCTTTGTCTTGCTTTGAGTTAACATATGTATGTATATGTAAATTAAACATATATATATATATAGAATATTATATAATTGTTATAAAAGTAAATTATTATAAAATACTAATAGAGAATAGCGTAAACTACAACTTCCTTGTACACTAAAGTGCAAAGCTGACAATACTAACAACAAAAATAATACAACAAACAATTGACATACTGACAAAACTCAACGTAAATACTATAAAAGATAAAATGATCAATAAAAACAACACAACCAGAATAAAATTACCAAGGCGGACAACCAGTAAAACTCTTTGAAGTACATAATTAAATATGAAGAATATATAAAACAGGAATGCATATGTATGTAATTTTTAAATGGTTATAGAAATGAATAATACATAACATTAAATAATAATAATAATATATGAACTTTCTTACAAGAAAATAAGCAAGTGCTCTACAAAACAAAAAATTATAAAAAGCAGACAATTTTAAGAGTATTAAAACATATAGATATGGTGTTTCCATCTTTTGAGCATTTAAAAATAAAATATAATTCACCTTATTCTTACTTTTTAAGTATTTTCAAGAAGACTTCTTGTACAAAATAACACAATATAACAGCACAATCGCCCACAATACTCAGATGGTGAAGGAAGTACTCAGATATTTTACATAAATAAAAGTAGTAATACAACAGTGTAGAAAACCCGTTACGAGCTAAAGTCCTGCATTCAAAATGTTACTTAAATAAAAGTATTAGAAAAGTACAAATTATGAAAAAATGCTTCCAATTTCGGAATAATTTATAATGTAGCATTGGATTATAATCAGCGATGCATTCATGTGTTCATGACTTTAATGTTGCAGCTGGTAAAGGTGGAGCTATTTTTTATTACTTTTAACACTGCTACGTTGTGAATTTTCCTCCGTATATATATTAACCTATAATAATGCATCACATTTTAGTTGTTGATTATATTTTGTATTATTAATCTCAATCTGCAAACTAACTGAAGTCCTTAAATAAATGTAATTGAATAAAAAGTACAATATTTGTTGAGTAAAAGTATAAAGTAGCAGAAAATGGAAACACTGTACTAGGATCATATCGGTATTGATAGTTTGACAAATTATTTAACATGAATCTTTTGAAATGTTATTCAATTATTTTGAATAGAACGGTTGATTTGGACCTTTTAACAGCAGTTGTTGGTGTTGTACTGTAGATCCTAATAGGTCAAGCTTGTTTAACGCACAATGTGATGAACTCGACTGACTGATTTGT